ACAGCAGACGTGGTTATACCCGAACCTACACGTTTTTCTAGTCTGCTTTATCTGTAGGAGCTGTTTTCATGCACTTGTATCCAGACCTGTTTTGCCATAAAACTAAGACCATACAAGAAACACTGTCAACTTAATAACCCAGCATTTCTGTACCAATAGTGCTGCATAGATGCTCTCATACCCATGTGATAGTTTCATATTCATCTGACCAACCAGCTAAAAAAATCATAGGTTTTGATGAACATTAAGAATTCATCCACTTGCTGCCATGTGACCTAACAGCAAACACTCATTTTATGATCAAGCATTCCTATATGAGAAGAAATTGCAGGGTTCATTCTCTATCTCTTTGTGACAAATGCAGAGGTTTGCCATGAAAATTCATTCTTCTGGTAAAAAGACAGGAGAAAAGAACAAAGCTCAGTACTGAACAATCATCTTTAGGCTGATTGCTGCTATTTAGGTCATCTATATCCCTGGCTTTGTTAGTATAGCTGTGTCAGTCAGGACAGTTAAATAAGGTATTGCATTTTATCCCTTAAAGATGCATGTGCGTATAAGAAGTGAGTTTGAATTGGAGCTTTTACCATCTGATCAAAATGTCAAAGTAAAAAAGAATGACATGGGGTTTTGTCTGTCATTTGCCCTTGGTTCCATGTCACTTTATATAAAGGAAAGTAGCCAGGAGGTACCAGAAGTTCACCTATTTTTCCTCCATTTTACCATAAAAAATTTTTGTGTCTCTGCCCTCACAGAAACATTAATCTCTGGTAAGTAAACTCTTTTCCATCTCGTATCATGAGAGGTGTACATGTATGTATCACAATTTTGTTTTCTTGTAGATAAAACTATCACAATAGAAACTTTGTGTAAACCATAACTTTAGAAAATAGAAAACAACGTGTTTCGTTATTTTGCAGACCTCAGTGGTTAATATGCAATAGTGAGAAAAACAATTTTGAGAAACTATCCACAATGTGTTTACAAACACTCTAAAGAGCAGTCCCAGTTTGTACACACCTTTGTTTCTGTTAAAGTCAGCATTACAGTCCCCATGGGCCAGGACAAGATTTTCATTCATGATAATTCCTTGAGCTTTTTTGGTTTTCCTACACCAAAAGAAGCTAACCTGACTGTAACTAGAGATATAATATAGTAATATAAAATCAAAGATGATAAAGTCCTTATGTGTTTATCACGCAAATAATGAGAACATTTTATTGTGTTTTCACTTTTATTTTCTAAACAGCATTCCAGCAGGAGTACAGTTATTTCATGTTTGTATTGTATGCCTTTATATTTGGCATATATTTGCTGTTTCTGTCCTGTCATTCAGCACCTGAGAGGCAGACTAACCTTGGAGATGTTAACATGCTCCTTCTGCTTAAAAGCTATATGCATGTAAGAATTTGGGGAGGAGTTATAAATATAGAGCATATTGTAGTAACAATTGCTTTTTCGAGCACAAAAAAAGGAAAGTTTGGGAAAAGTTCCACTGAGAGAGCTCCTTTTGGGAAAGGATTGGTCATAAGACAAATATCCTCCCATGGGTTTGGCCTTGCCTAGAACAGCAGATGTGATGTGATAATCTTAATAAGATTTCTTTCTACACCTGAAAAAGTTTCCCAGTCCGTTTTTTCAACTATTTCCCTTGGTGGCTTTTTAAAAGAACTGTCAGCTGAATTTTCAGCAGAGAGTATTTTCAAAGTTGACAACACTGTTTATTGTCTCTGTGAAAAGAGAACGAAATCAATTTCTCATGAGTATTTGAGCCCTGGGGTCAATGAACTGAATTTCGATTGTGGAAATTACAAGTTACTTACACTTGTCGTCATTTAAGAAAAGCATTTCTTCTATTTCATTATTTTTTGCATTTGGCATTCTGATCACTGCACTGATGTCCATGCAGTGTTCAGCCCTAGTAGAAATCTGGGCAGGCAGTTGTCACCTGTGTTATTTGGAAGAAACAACGTTCTCGTTTGCAAAGCTGGATGCTAAACACTGAGAAAATATCAGATCAAAGGGGATTAATTTGATGGCGTTTACAGAGTGGTTAGGACCTTTGCTGAAGTCCAGCATTTTTTAATATGCAGAATATGTTGTTCTGCCTTCAACCATAACATAGTGACAATACAAATTACTTGTTTAGTGCAAATTGGCCTGAAAATGTGTACAAGTGACAAACTAGTTTATGATGCACCAATGTGGCATTGAAGGGAAGAGTCAAAGACTATGAAGCTGTCAAAAAGACAATTACGAGACAGACAAACTATGAATCCTCTGCTCCTTCTGGGAAGCAGTTACTTCTCCGTAGGGTGACTCACACAACTAACTGCTTATCACTGGGAATTAATAGCCCAGCCCAGAGCATGTACAATAAAGCAGGCCTTTCCTCATGGCCTTTCAATTGCTTAATTTGCATTTGTTTGGTGATTTGAAATATATGTACAAGTACTAAATATTGTTACAATGCATGAACAGAAATTAAGACTGGAGCTTGTATACATTCATCTATTCTCTGCTGAAAGCAAATAGCTATTTAATAAATAATTAATGGCTATGTCAAGTAAAAGACTCTGCTGCCTCAAAGTTAGAGGAACATTTTTCAGGGTCACCTTTCTTTCCTGTCTCCTCCATGGATCTTGCATCCTTTGCTACATAGTGCTATAACTACCAGGAAGTGTTTTAAGTGCCCTTTGGGTGGGAATACATTTGAAAATAGATCTTCCACATCCTAGGCAATATCTCCTTTCTTTCACTGCAATGTAAAGGATGGCCTGGAAATTTTCACTATGTGTACTGTGTTGAAAAAAAAAAAAAAAGAGAGAAGAAGAGAATAGGACTGACACTGCTTTTCTTTTTTAAAAGCTCCTACACATCAGCGTGAACGAAGCTTTAAGAAAGCTAAGTAAATCCCTTTGTAGGATTTAGGCAGGTAGAGGCCTGCTTCTTGGATCCTGTTCATGCCTAAGCTCAAACTTGTGTCCACAGTCAGCACAATTAAAACTGAAGTTCCTGTGTGAACAGGTACACATGAACCTTTCAATAAAAACAAAGTTTTTTTATTAGATTCATTAATGTCTCCCATGTCCTAGTTTAGCCTCTCAAATTATCGGGTTCTTTTTCTTTATCCTCTGATTCTGTTACTAAGCTCCTTTCTCCACAAGCTGTCTCACTGACTTCATGGGGAAAAGCAGAGCAACACTGCAAGGTTTCAGCTGTCCTGCTTCAAGATTGAGGAAATATGGACAAAAGCAGGGGAAATGTGTATGAATCCCTTCACTTCCCCCATAGATTCACTTCCATGTTATAGTTAGAAATATCTCTTGGCTAAGATAATGCATCTTCATTTTCCTTTTCTCCCTGTTGTTGCAATGGTGCCATGCAATCTGATGGGTGATGAACCATACAGGGCTTCCTTGATCTGGTGAGAAAAGTGCTGCCACATGTGGATGCACGAGCTGTTACGCTGAGATTAATCATTCCTGTTTTCTTTTATTGCCCCTCATATAAGGCATTTAACACTCCTTGGATCAATAGACCTTTCTTCTTTTATTTTCCAATTCTCTTTTTTAATATTAGTGTGGAATGCTCTACTCACAATCTGATGAATGGTAAAAGAGCATGTACAGTTATTGTTGGTTTTATTGTTGTTGTTACTATTAATAACAATAACAGTAACTCGTTTGAAGTGGTATCCATAACACAGTAACTGTTTTCCAAGAACAAATAAAAGGGACCAGTCCCTGACCTCACAGGCCATGGCACTCTAAGACAACCAAACAAATAGTTCAGGGGATGGCACAACAAAAAGGATGACTGCTGAAATCAACAATTTTCATTACAATCAGCCTGGCAAACAAGCATGGTGAGAGGAAATTTAAAAGTGGAATTGAAAGAAAATTTCTCATAAGCAAGACCAGAGACAGCTGTTGTATGGAGTAAGGCATGGAGGTGATTTGAAGGATTGCCAGAAAGGCAGAACACAGTGGGAATATTAGAACAATGCAAGTTTGTGAAGCCAAATGACCAGTGCTCTTCTGCTGTTTCTTGAACCTAGGCCTTCTGAGCTGCTGTTTTGCCTGCAGTAGTGGGTAGAACAGCACTTCTCCTTTTATGCAAGAGGATGAGGAAGAATCATTGCTTATCACCATGTCTGTGCTTGCTGTGATATTCCAGGTTGTCCAGCGTAGAAATCACACTCAAGCACAAGCCATTCTATGGATGGTGGTTAATTTATTGAGAGACTTTTTCCACAAAGATTTAACAGTGTTGTTAAAAGACTTTCAGTCATTTATTTGGAAGCACTGCTGACAAGTTGCTTGTGTGACAGAGACAGCCCTCTTTTCTCCTGACAGGAGCATAGCATGAGCAGCCTCTTTGTATAAAGTTTAGTAAATGGATGGTCTTCTGTAATGCTTTGGTATGATGAGTGTTCCATTCAAACCAAGATTAGAATATTGCAGGGTCATTTAGCATCCATCTGTTACACTTTTGGCTGTCTGATTCAGTTGCACAGGGTGGTTCAGAACCCCTCTCCAAGCTAATGAATCAGGCTTTCAGAATGTGTTTATTAGCTAGACCTCACAAGGGTTTGTGGCATGTCTCAACTTGAACTTTTAAAAAAAAAAATTCAACATTCAAAATGTATTCAATTAGTACTTTTTGTCTGTAGGGCAACTGTGATAGTTTTATGAGAAAATCAAAGTAAAATTCATTATGATGGTAATTAGAACTTCAGAATGTCCAGATTGCATTCAAAAGAAAGGATATTAATTTTGTTTATTGAGTTAGAATTAGTAAAACATTTGGAAATGTCTGTTCATTAAGATTATGAGAGTATTCAGCTGTGGGAAAGAGAAATCTAACATCTTTTTCCAACTTGGGCTGTGGAAATTGAGGAACATGTAACACAGAAAAAGCAAATGCTCAATTGCCATCTGTGAAATAGAGTGGATAAGACATACGTTACTGTGCTAATAAGTGTGCCATTTTTGCAGCTTCCACAGACGACAGTGCAGCAGAGAAGAAAGGTGGAACACTTCATGCTGGCTTAATTGTCGGCATTCTAGTCCTGGTCCTCATTGTGGCTGCAGCCATCCTTGTGACAGTCTATATGTATCATCATCCAACGTCAGCAGCTAGTCTCTTCTTTATAGAGGTAAGACAAAAGTAACATCTTGTGTCACTAGTCCTGTCACTTGGCTAGGATAATTGGGGTCTCCAGAATAGAACTTTCTTAACTAAATCCAGAAAGTATTTTCGTAGTGTAAGCTTTGAAGAAATGAACCTCTCCTAGCAGGTGATGTTATTTTGTTCTTAGCATGTTTGTCACTCAGCTGCTTCTTTAACTACCATTGCTCTTACTTTTTTTGGTTTTTACACAGGACATATATCTAAAAGATGTATCTCAGTTACCTCTCCACCTCTCTTTCCTATCCTTCATTTTCCTCACAGTAGCATTTTTCCATTAGCTTTCATGTGCACTGGCATTTTATTGCAGGACATATATTTTTTCTATTATTTTCCTGTGGAAAAATAAAATGTATGCATTCTTAATTCTCCAGAAGAGCTGACTTAAAGTAAGTTTTCGGCTGGAAACCTGTGTTAGCTCTTCTGTACATTCATTTGTAGAAATCTTTTAAAACTTTGCCTCAGAGTGTGGGAAAGATACTTTACACCTAATTTTAACATCTAAATCTAATATCATCTTCCTTTGCTCTTTTTTATTAGTGTAGAGAGAAACAGACTCTTTTAGACCATGATTCATCTGACCTGTTTGAGACATCTCCTTTAGGATTAGATAAATTACCATTTTTCTCCCTCAAATAGAGGTAGCTACCTTAGGTGCAGGCATCTACATTGCAGATGCTGACATTTAGTCAGCTCAACTCCACTGCACATGACAATATGAGAAAGGAAAATTTTCCATAGGTGTTTGGTTCTACAAAAAGCTATGAATACCTACACCTACTTGTGTTTTCTTTCAACTCAGCAATGTTCCTCTACCTTATGATAAGTACAGAGTTGCTAAACATGAAAGAAACTGCTGGCTGTTCATAACCCCCACTTGCAGTAATCCCTTACTTTTAAGAGCCTGGTCATTTTCTAATGGGCAATAGTGAAGAAGCAGAACTACTGGAAGTGTCACTAGGGACTTATCTAGGGATTGCTTAGGTAAAAGCCTGGACCAGGAGGATATCGACTTTCATTCTTAGTGACAGCGGTGTGAATTCAAGTGAGACATGAACATGAATACAATGACTCATCTTTAAAAACATATTATAATAAATATACTGCTTAGATGCAATAGTAGTGACAGAAATCAAAATGAATTGTTTATCGGTATTCCAGGCTCAAGCAGTGTAACTGTGTTAACCATCAGGGAACAGCATCCACGTAATAAAATCAATAGTTTTCTTTCATGTCTATGCGACATTACAAGCCAATTCTCTATTGATGTAGATGACAAAACTCCACTGAAGTCCTTGTACAAGAGAAAAGGATTTGTCCCTTTTTTTTTTCACACACAGATTGAATTGCTGTTCTTTCACTCTAGTAAAAACAAGTTTCTTTTCTGTTATGATGTGTCCAAAAAGGCTAAGTAAATGGCAACACCATTTTTTAAGAAGAATACCAGATTAAACACACACATTTATTTATTTATTTCTGTTCTCAGTGGAGTAATGGCATGTTAATTTATCTTGTTCATTGATATCATACTCACATGCAAACAGTGGTGCCTTAATCAGTTTTGTTTGACCAATTCCACTGAATTTAATCTTTAGGTGGCATTAATCTATCTATGCAGTCAAAGCTAAAATGTCTTTTAGCAAGCAATGTAGGCTTTTAGAAAAAGTAGAAAAACATAATCTTTCTTTTTTAAAAAAAGGAGAAATAATTGAATAAGGAGAGGAGGAAGTCAAAATCAAATTTATGCAAAACATAGCATAAGCTACATCTTTTGGTTACTAGGAAAATTGTGATACTTGTGAAGAATCAGCTATTTAGCAAGAATTATAAAAAGTTCTAGCCGTGAAGGGAAGGTCTTTCCCTGTGAGTGGTAAAAACAGAGGGGCTGGAGAAAGGGATTACTCTGTATTTCAGAACATTTCCACAAATTTCAGAACTTTAAAGCCATTGTTGGTATCATAAGTGTAGAAGAACAGAATAAGGTAATCCGTTCTGGAAATGAAATTGCTTTTAAGAAGTTTAATCATTTAATTTCCAAAGGAAAAAAAATAGTTTGACAAATTCAAGAAATAAAAAGTAGAATATATTATATTCTTATATTCATCTGATCCATAGGATGTAAATATTTCCAATACAATCTTCTCAGGCTTGCATTTTGAAACTGAAGTATAAAAAAAGAAAAAATGAGGTATAACTGGTATAAATAAGTCACTGTTACTAAAAAGCATTCCTTATTGTATTTGTGCAATTGAAAAATATTTGAGTAAGCTGTTACAGACAACATGGTACCCCACATCCCACAGCAGACAAGCAGCATTATTTATGGGAAACGAATGAAATGTGGATCTGATGTCACTGTTCTGGGGAAAGAGCTCAAGAGGATTGCCATGAACTTGGTCATGACATGAAAACAGGCACAGTAATATTTCAGAAAATAATATTGGGTTTTATGAGTCTCTTGATTAATAAAGCAAGTTGCACAGTTAAAACAAGATGCAACAGATGGACAGGCAGCTCCCTCATGCACTTGTCTAAAAAATTACTAGCACACTGTGGTCTGCCATCAAGTCTTCCAGCCAAATCAAGTTCTGCACCAGCTTATCTATCATCAGTAATTAATATAAATCTAAGGCTGGGCAAAATAAAGAATGGGGACCTGCCCCATTTGTGTTTACTTTTAAAGAAACTACTTTATAGAGGAATCATATTGACATTGAATATAGCATTCATTCAAAACTGTAACACGACTAAGAGAGAAACTTCTTTTTACATCTAAGATTCTAGGACAGTGTCATGATTTTGTAGTTAAAACATCATTTTGAGTCAGATTGGGGGGGGGTAGGTTAAGGGCTATGTAAGGAATTTTGAGTTGATTTGATTTATAGTCATGACTGGTTACTGAATAAAGAAAAGTATAATAAACTGATCCCATATCTGAGGCTTTAAGTCCCTTTGTGTTCTCTGCAGATGTCACCCAATATTCGCTTACCACCTCACTCAGGTTTTCGCATAACTCATCTCAAATCCCACTTGTGATGCCCCTCATGTTTGTCATGTGGTGAGCTCCCCCAGATTAGGATAAAGACACCCACACTTTGACTGCACTGTTTAACTTTGCACTGATAAATGCAATCCTTTGTGAAACCTCTGAGCACCATTAAATGATATCCTGACTGCACTAGTTGGTTTAAATAAGCAATATACAAAAGCCAAGAAAAATGCCATTTATTCCAAAAGCAACTATTTTCTTAGAACAGAGTAACATTATTCTATGATTTTTTTTTTACCCCTAAAGTCTGAAGAAAACCTTTCCTCTAGTGGTTTTGTTCGTAGATGTTGAGCACAATGCATATGTGCAGCCCCACCTGGAACAAAATAGCTATTTTGAACGAACAGCTTGAGAAGTCTTGAATGACAGTGCTATTCAGTGTGCCCATGATAGTGTATCATTTTAAAAGAATATCATCCAAATCATTCAAAAATGTTCCCCTTTTTGTTAAGCGTGTCGAGGATTCAAATCAAAGTTCAATGTTTCCCTGTTTCTTCCAGCCCCCACACTATTCAACATGTGTTTCATTGTTTAAGTTGGACGCTTCTCTGGTGACCTAAAGACAGAATTAATTATCAACTTTTAAAGTTAAGAGAGTTTCAGTCAAAGTTGCAATGAATGCAGGCTCTTTCTAAAAGCTGAGAGTACATGTTGACTAAAGATTAGCTTGCAGAGTGACAGAAGAGATGTTGTATGCTTTGGTCTTTTATTTATTTATGATTACCCCTGTGATATTTTCTCTCCCTTGAATATGATTTTGTTGCCAATAATTTCCCCTTTTGAATCAAGTTACATGCCTACTCTTACCTTGAGGAATCCTGTGTCTCTTGAGTATACTTTGAACTTATTTGCACTCATTTTTTAAAAGTAGCATACATGTCAAACAGTGTTCTTCAAGTCTTTTTCAACAAAGCAGAAGCTTATGTCAGAAATCTAGCTATAACACATATAGCTACACACTAGCTATACCACAACTAAAAAGTAATTAATTTATTCACTAACCTCTGTATATACTTGCATTCAGGATTTGAGGTTTGGTGGCCAAGAAGCCAAGCATGATGCCCCGCTTGTAGTGGATTGCATACCTGTGATATAGATCATAGCAAAAGTGATATAGATATCTGGAGCTGAATGTAAATATGGGCAAAGAAATTCCCAGCTGAGTCAGATGGATTTGCTCAAATTTGACTGAGTTGCGGGCTAAATAGCACATTTAGTAGTATTTTAGATTTTCCTTCTTCCCTTCTTTTTTTCTTCGTGTTCTTTTTTTCTTGTATTTTTAACCTTTATTGATTTGCATTTGTATGTGAACTTTGGCATTGAGAGCAATTAATGTCCAGGGAACATTTAGCAAATCGAAAAGCAAGGCGTAAGGCAGACTGCCTTTTACTCAGGTGTCTTTTGCCTGTTTGCACCCAGTTATCTGTGGACAGAAGGGTTGCACATGACAAAAGTTTTCATGTGCATGGGTTTTTTGTGGGTTTCTTACCTTTCTTACTTATATGTTGGTCCAAAGTCCTTTTAATCTTTGAAACTTACCTCAGCTGTCATCCCAGTGCTCTGCCTTTGGGGAACAAAGGCAACATGATCTGGCCACAGCTGAGAAGACAGCAGAGGAATTGCTGGCCAATATGAAGGCAGGGAGTCAGACACTGGGATGCCTTTTCCCAGCTGGACACAGTGATACTGTTGCCAAATGTGCTTATGTAAGGCTGGACAGCAGCAGAATAAAATTCTTCTGTGGCAGTTCTCTGCAGGTAGGGGATTGTAAGGAATCTAAACTAACATTGCAAATTGGGACCATCTTAACGTCAGGCAAAGAGCCTTTCTCTTGTATTCAGCTTATAGGTACAAAACCAAACCTAACTTATTAACACATGTAGACTGTGAAGCTTTAAGGATACGAATGAATTCAGAGC